TTTGTTAGTTTAAAAAAATTTATACCATCAATTAAAATTCATTTGAAATAATAAATATAATTTTTAAAGTAATTGTTACAAAAATGAAAAATTTTATCATAAATTATTAATATATGATTGGAAGAATATATATATATACTTATTTAAATTATTATAAAATTGCATTGTATTTCAAAACCTTATATTTTATTTTACGTGGTAAACTTTTGTTAATGTTTATCCTATCATGTACCATATGCCATTACATGAATATTATTTATTCCATATAAAAAATTAATTTTGAGTTTAAATTAATGATTAAGGTGTCACTTTATTATTTACTATCAAAATAAATATATTTTGTATCTATGTATATTTTATAAAGAATAAAATAATAAAATGAGTGGTTAATAATAAGAATATTTGAACAGTTTTTGGGTTGTAATTTATAAGGATAGTTTTGAAAGAAAAAAAGGAGTAGCTTAAGAAGTAATTTCAAGGATAAAATTATTCAAAAAATATGTATACCAAAAAAATAATCCCCTTTATTAATACTAGCATAAAAGAGATACTTTGTGTCTTTGTATATTTTATTTAAAAATAAAAGTAAAAAATTAAAATAATTAAAATTAAATATCAGTAAATCATTAGTAATTGAAGGATTTGGATAAATTTAGGCAATTGAAGAGATTAAAAAATTACTTATTAAAATTAAAATTAAAAAATAAAAATAAAAATAAGGATAAATCCGTCCACGTAAAAATGGACACCAAAGACGATTACTAAAATTGATATCGCCTTATTTTTTATCATATAAATTGTAGATATATAAAATAAAATAACAGATAACGTCAGGAAGTCGATTTTTTTATTTATGGTGATTTTAAAAATAATAAAGAAAACTTTACCTAATGAAATTCAATAAATAAAAATTACAGAAACATGAAAAATAAAATTGAAAATTAAATAAAAAGGTAAAAGTTACTAGCCTGTGTTGTTGCTCCTGCTATACAAGAAACGAAAAGTTCAATGTTTGTTTGATGATGTTGTACAAAAATATTGGTCTAATTATAAATTTCATTAATGGTGAGTTTGAGGATGTGATTTAGTAGAGAGTGGAGAAGAAAGAGAGGGATTATCAAATAATTAAAAAAAAAGTGTTTAGAAGAGATGATTTAAGTAAATTGGTGAGAAAATTGTATGACTCATACGAATTTAATTTCACTCTCTTTAAGGGTGAATTTGTGTAAAATTTTCAACAAAAAAAAAAGCATGGATAAGACTACTCCTATATTAAATAGTTAATCAATAAAAGATAAAACTATAATTATTTAAATAATATATTTTTACATAAAAAATTTATATAAAATACATTTTTAAAATATCAATTTCTATCTATTTTTCACTTAATTCCAATTTATCAAAAAAATTCAAATTCTATATCATTTCCAATCTATTTTTTTAAAATCAATTCTCACCGATTGACTTTCATAACTCTTTCTCCTTTTCTAAAAAAATTACCTAATTCTAAATCGATTGTGACATGATAGAACGATGTCGACTCGTAGTTGTACAATTTTTTTAAAGAAAATTCTACAAAAAATAATAATGAGAATATGGTACTCCAAAGACCAAAACTATTAATGTGACTCTTAGGATTTCAAAGGGTCAAGGTCTTCTCACAGAGATTTTTCTCACACGCAAGCTACTAACCCACATTCACGTGTGACGTAAAAGATAAGTAAAATTTACTGATTCTCCTTAAGTCATTTTAGATCTTTTAGGGTCGTTAAATCAATTTTGTTTATTAAAACTGCGATGCATAAATTTATAATGTGCGAGTTGCTCTTACAAGACTTATTATGGAAATTCCCTTAAAAAGTAAAGAGAAAAATAAAATCTTTTAACATGGTTGAGTTAACTGATCAAGTTTAAAATTATTTTTTTATCCATAAAAATTATAATATAATGATTGTATTAAGATTCAAAAATCAAATCTAAAACCCTTCTGAATAAGTCAACTCTAGTAATTTAATTAAAAGTGACTTTGCCAAATAATTAATGAGCAGTTGAATTACTTAAAATTAAAGGAGTAACGACTTTTATTAATATTTCTTGAGGATATTAGTAAAAAAAAAAATCTTCCAATATTATAATTATTTTTTAGTTTAATGGGTATGCATAGTAAATATATATATTTTTTTACACTATCAATCAATTAAAAGTTGTGTTTGATAAATGAAAGTGTAAAACATTTTATATGGTAAGTGTATGTCCTATTTTCTCATAATTATTTTTAAAAAAACCATTTATTTAAAGCTTAAAAAATATCTATAACATAATATAACATTGTGTTTAGCATGAGGGAAGTTCAACAGAAGTGCAACGAGGAGAGTAGAAGAGCAAGAAAATGTATGAACTATATCGTTTTTGTACGATGGAAGTGGTGAAGAATTGTAACGAAATTATGTGGGTTCCACATTTAAAAAAAAAAACTTATTCGTAAATATGAATAGAAATGCGAAGAAATTATTTGAAAATGTTCTAAGTGCACATCTTCCAATGTTATTAAGTGTAAGAATAATTGACTAGAGCGATGCTATACATTTCAAAAAAGATGGTTGAATCATCTTTCGAATGAATAATAAAGTGACATTCGTTAAAAAAATTTAAAATATAATATTCACTATCAATACTTTGACTAATTTTTCGGTCATTTTATCGAGAGGATTTAGCATTTTTCAATCAACTATATGCAAGTGTGAAGAAATAATTTGAAAATATTAAAATAATTAAAATAATAATTCAATTTTAGAATATATTTTGAATTATTTTTAATAATTAAAAACATAAAATTTATTTTATTATATTTTTCTTAAATAAAAATTATGAATCTTTTAATTAATGTTTATATTCAAAAGAGTTATAAGAATCGTGTAGAAAATAAATCTTATCAACAAGTAAAAAATAATTTGATATTAAATTTTTTATTATTTTTATTATGTCTCCTTTTTCATTTAAGTATGACTGAGTTTGATAGTATCTTGAATCAGTAAAAAAAGAATAAAAAATTGTATTTTAAAGTTAAAAATAATTATTGTTTTCAGAATAATTAAATTTAAAAAATAAATGACCAAAATATAAAAATCAAAATAAAATTTAAAATAAGATAAATGTGAAACAACCTATCATGATTACTATACTTCATGAAATTACTAACTAGCAACAAAATTACTCACATTTTTAGGATTTTATATTCACTATACATGAATATGCATACTGTGACATGTATGTAAGTATAAATGCAACCAAGAACAACTCTATAAATATATACAATATATGTATAGTCATTTAGTATAAAACAATATAGAATTATAAGTGTGATCAAGTACTATTATACAAACCATTACAAATAGTCCAAGACAAGACTGTACTGCCAAAATGGCCCTACAACATGTCCATGAAGCCTGCTCTAGTTAACCTTGCCCTACTCCCATGAAAAATCATGATCATCATAGTCCAACCACATGGAAAACACGCAAGAGTAAACTAGATTTAAAAAACGTACTAGTATATGAAAGAACATCGATACTATTCACCAATATGTAAACCAACCAAAACACCTCATGGTTTATAACATTCACCAAATAACACAACACCAATATGTTTGAAAGCTACACACCGAGAGATATCAAACAATAATATACTTATCCAATGCATATGAACACATCAATCAACAACACATCATATGCATACACCTCAACTAATATGTCGTTACGTATGTTGGGATTCATCCCAAGTCCCACATCGGTAAAATGAAGGAACATTGGCTAGTTTATAAGTGTCCACCATTCCACATAGTATGAGGCCTTTTGGGAAGGAGCCCAAAAACAAAACCGTGCGGGCTTGGGCCCAAAGCGGACAATATCATACTATGGTGGAGGAACGGGTGGACTAGCGGGCCCAACAAGTGGTATCAGAGCCAACGGTTCGTCTGGGTTTGATGCGGGAAGACCCTCAGTGTTGTGCCTCGCGATGGAGATTCGAACTTGGTGCCTTGTGTCGAAAGTCTTCCTGATATTGTGGT